GAATATATACCCATGACCTAAAAGACTTCTCTAAAGCCATTCCTAAACTTTCTATTTAAGTTAACTAATTCTTATTATTACCATAAAACATAACAGTTCAACAACATTTAATTTTGAGCCCTTATGAAACTTATTCGATACCTTGAAGAAAGCCAAGAATGAGAAGCCATACTTCCCATTACGATCCCTCCAACACATGTCCTTAGTAAAACAGCCATAGGTGCACACGATACAACAACTGATATCTCAAATAAAGAAGTTCCATTCAGGTTACTGACGAATTTATGTTGAAGGTCTCTGTAACTCAAATTCCCCGCCTCGTCCGCCATCTTGATTGAAGTACTTGCTCGACACACAGGTAGCCCAAACAAGGAATGTTGGAGTTTGGATGATGATATAAAATAAAAAACGTCCTACTTGACAATTCATTTTAAAGATTTTACAGCAAATTGTTTAATTAATCATTTTGTTTGATATCGTAATCTTAATTATCAGACATTTCCTTATAAAATCGTAAACCATACAAAGAAACCTTGCTTGGGTTGCCTGTGGCTATAATTATGCAGAAAAACGACTTCCGGGTCCAAAACGAAAAGTAGATCTAAAAGATTTTTCTTACTTTTTCTTCGTGACTGGATTGATTTTCCAGAGCTGTAATTGCATGAGGTGGCAGCCAAATAATTGAGAATATTTTTTGCTTTATTTTAGCGAATTTTGTGATAAGTTGAACCCGGAAATACGTCACAGCTCTAAATTTTACAAGGAACGCGGAACGCCTCGCGGTAATTGCATTAAATGAAACTTTTACCAAACGAAGAAAGAATGGATACGGAGTTGAAGGTACATTTCATAATTTTTGATCATTATTATCATATGATTTATCATCCCATTATTAATACAATCAATTATATATCTTTGTTTAATCGTTTGATAATAAAAATTCATCCCTTTGCTTATGCTTTAAAGGGTTTAAATTGAAACATTGAAAGGGCGCTATGTAAATCATTATCATTATCATTTTTTCACTCACATTTTGTAAATTTTTCCACAGACCCTTACGCTAATTAATCTTGTCTCAAATGCGATTCTAAGACTTATACTTCAGTCTGAAATATCTTTGGTGATCTCTGGTAGTAGCTAGCCATCCCATTTCTCGATGAAAATCATATTTGAAGCCCTTTCTTAAAACTACAAACTCTCTCATGAAGATTTGCCTCTAACTAAAGGCAAAAAATATAGTATATTTATTTAGTATTCTTTGCAGCCACTCTAAATGATTCTGGATCTGACAATAGTTTACACATGCTGTAGAATGATATGTTTATAAGAGACCATGGGAATGACGATTTTTTATATATTTCCAGGATGAAGTGAATCTCAAGCAGCTGTTAAAACAATTTTTTTCCTTGCAAGAGGAAAGAGTCAAGACATACAAGATATTTGATGTGTAAGTAGATTAATTTGTTCATCAGCGAGACTTCCTAAAAGTGCTAATAATGTTACAACCTCTACCACCTTCATGAGGAGCTTTATGCCAGTTAGGATTTTGGTGTCCCGCTGACTTGGGGCTCAAAGAGTCCCAAGTTAACAATAAGAAATGTTACATGAAACCCTGAGTGTGGTTTGGCTGGAATCTAACTTAGGGCGTCATAAGTAGCGACACCTTAGGTCACTAGCTGTCAACTTGATGGTTTTTTTGAGTTAAAAAAATCAAAATACTGCAGCCTCACGCATAAAGCCTTCGGCCGCCTATGATAGAGAGACAATCCGAATTCTACGATGCTTTATCTAATTTATCAGAGAGGACCTGTAGTATATGTTTCAAACTATGTGAATACCCAACTTTGAACAACCAGGATTATTTTAGATTCAGATTGATAACTTGCGTTTATAATTTAATATCTTTAGCAATGAAAAGCATACTCAATTGCACTAAGATTACATTATAGATTGATAAATTTTCCAATTCATCAGAACTGCAAGTGAAATATCTTTCAATGTTGATTGCGTTTGGAAGCAAAGGTTAATACAGTGTGTAGAGTTATGAAACCACAACTTAGTTGACTGTAATGCGAGTAGGAAGATGTCAGAGATATCACGCAGGGAAATCCTAAGCTACATTTAAGCTTCTCATGAATGACTCTTCCAAAAGGTTGACTTCAACAAAAAATCATAGCAGTCCAAACATTTTGTAAACAACATACAAACATGATTCCTAAAAGCATATACAGTAAGTCTGTCCTCTCTACTGACAACAACAATAATCCAAAACTTATGGAAAACGATCGACCAATTGAATTTAATTAGTGCTAATGGAAAGCAGATATGTTTATCATTGCATCACAAATGTGTTTTGTTATCAATTTCACAGTGGTTTCAAGTTGTACATTTGTGATTCATCAGACTATGACTTCCCAAAATACCGCCAACATGTTGACAATGTTACCAAGAAGTTCATCAGTATCTCACAAGAAGTCAGAAATATTGAAGCAAAACTGAAAGAGAATGGTAAACCTAAGCTAGGTAACATCATCAGAGGAATACAGATGAACGAAAAAGAAAAGCTTGACCTGGTGAGCATAACTTTATCATTTTTACTGTTACTAATAAAATTAGCTACAAAGGAGTTTGTTAATATTGGCACATGGCAATCAAGAGTCTCAGCACTGGGGGTAGAGGCAAATGTACATGAAAGGTTTGCCAAAAGTGAAATGTTTCTTTCAACATCCATCTAGTCATAATTAAAGTTCTGATTAAATTCCCAAAATGAAGAAAAATTTAATATCTCTCACATACATATTTGGCCACCTTGTGTCCCCCCACATCCCGGGGGGGGGGGACTCCAGGAAAAAAGCACCAGGGATGCTGGTCAGAAATTTTCAAAAAGGCCCCTAAAAGATACCGGAAGTCTTTAAAAAAGGGTGTGGCTGAATGATTTTTAACCCCTGAGAGGTACCACAACAAATAATATTAAATTTCACATAAAAAGCGCCTAGGATAAGCCATATCAATGCGCACTTCTCTCCTTTTCCGACACCCTAAGAGATACCAGAAAGTGCTGATTTTCAAAAATTCGAATTTTTACCCCTAAGATATACTACAAGCATCCCTAGTACTTTTTTCTCGGAGTCCTTCCCCCTGGGCCCCACATGTCCTTTCCAAATGCATGAGAGGGCTTTTTTATTGTCATGATGATGATAGTTGAAAATCCATGCAAATTAATAATAACTCTTTAGACTGCCAAACTGCAGATAACTGAAAAGGATAGAGTTGAGCATCCAGAAGAGGACTATAGTGAAGAATCAACATCTTTAAAATCAAGGTATCTTATGAATATCCAAATATGTGCTTGAGAATGAAGTACCTTAATTAATATTCATAGAACAAAGAATCTTCCTTTCAAAGAATCTGGGATCTGGTACATGGTGTGAAAAGAGGGGGAAAATAATGCTTAAATTGAATTGGGTTATCAGCAAGCTTTTGCATCTGTTTTAGTTGAATCTAGGAGTAAATGCATGCAGAGAGTATTTTGAACCACTTAAAGTTTTCTGAACCCAAATCGAGTGTTCCAACATGCATTTTTGTGGACATGCAAAAGTGCATTATTTCTGTACTAAAAAACTCTTGTCATTTCAACATGTACTAATATTTAATTTTTTCAGAAAGTACAGTCTATGATAATTAGATTTATGGCCTCTTTGAAATTAGTTTTATTTTTTCAGTCTTCAGAAAGTAATAGAAAGTATCAATGATCTTCTTGAAGAACTCAAATATGAAGCAGAAGATATATTACTTGAAGGAGAAGAAGAGACAGAAGACAGATGAAAAGAACTCTGCTGCTCCCTCACACCTCCCTGTCATTGACTCCTTCCTGCAACACAGTAAACCTCATGAATATCAACCTTATACTTAGGGAGAGAGATGTTATTTGCCTCATTTTTTAAAGAATCCTTGCACAGGAAGAACAGCACATGGAACCTCTAGAGATAGCCAGGGCTTAAAATAATGGTCAATCAGTCACCGGTCATTATCACAGGCCAAATTAGTTTTAGCTTGGTCATACCTCATTTCTTGCGAAATGTTACTGGTCAAAATAACCAGCAATGCAAAGATTTGACTGGACAAGTGCCAGTCCTAGCTGGACATTGTCTGATGTCTGGCCATTATTTTAAGTCCTGATACCACTGCAAAAAACTGCAAATATGTTGATTGGCAGAAGCTTAAACAACAGCAGTCTAGCATTGTCCAAATAGACCTTTTTAGCATGGCTGTAATGTTTTTTCCATTTCTTACAACGTCATTCCTTTTGGAATAAGTTTCATTGTTTGAGTCTATCCTGATGTAACTTCTCAAGTACTAGTAAACAAAATAATAATACTCAAGGGAATAACACATGGTCTCAAATGGGACAACATTACACCAAAGCCAAAAAGATCTACCATATTATTATGTTGATACAAAAATAAAAAATCTAAAATAAATTGAAGCTCAAAAACTGATACTCGAAGTATTAAGAGTTAATGATGATTTTTAATGTCAATATGTACATTGGAAACATTGAAACACAAGATAGTACAGTAATTTTAGGAAATTGGCGAAACTCAAGTTTTCCTAAATTAGTCCTGTGATTATCCATTATAGAAAAAACTTGTACTGTATATTAAAAGTTTTTTATCTTTACTAAGGAAGATAAGCGTGTCCAGGTAACTTTGCTGTTGGTATACTATGTTCCAGGTTCCTGCACAAAGAAAAATAATATCAAAATTAATAGTAATAATGAATAGTAAAAGTAAAACTCTAACATGAGCATATTCCTATATTTCCCTACATTTCATATTCCGGCTGCGTTACCAGCGTGGTTGGTCTTTGTAGTGTAGTGGTTAACACATTGTACTAGAATACCAAAGACGTGGGTTTGATTACCGCCAAGGGCATTTGGTATTTTTCTCTTATTCTCTCTACTTCATTATACACACTGAACACATAATTTATTACTACAATAGTATTCCTAAATGGCTGACTGAAGCCAATTTATGAATGGTCAAGATGGGAGCATCCATCCCGACTACTTCTAAAGCACCACCCAATATATTCATTACTGGAGGCAGGTGGGCTAAAAAATGCTAAACTTCAAAGTCCTCCATTTGTAGAGCTGAACTTTTAGAACAGCTCATCACTCCCCACCTAGTACCTTCATCTTTTCAACCAATCCCCTCCCTTCCCCCAATAAGAAAACTAATGAACAGTCCCTAGTCATCCACACCTATCTTCCTCTTTGGTTTCAATTAGCTTTTGCTGGCTGTAGACTACTTTAGGTGGAGCAGCTTGCCTACGAAGATCCCTGTCGTAATAATAATTTGCACTCAATTTGTGTGCTGGTCCATCAGGCAAGTCTGGATCTGGCTGAGTCCTGAAAATAAATAAACAACAACAAATAAAAATGTAAATAATATCAAACTTTTCACAAAAGTTCTATTACATTTTAGTAAATGTAATACGGACATCTTGCAAGTACTGATCCGGGGCTGGTGGATTCAATGATATGGCTAGCCCCATGGAGTTGAAAAATAATAAATAAAAAGGTTAAATCTAAAAACAACGCTGTTATACCTTTCCAGGTAACAGCCAACCCCCTTGACATCGTTCTGGATCCACCACTAACTCGTAATGATCTTTCTAATGCTTGAAAAAGAAAAATTAGAGTATATATTTCAAAACTCTTCTCACCTTTTGACCATTTTGTCAGCATATCGGTGAGGAACTATGAGAGTACGCTGCAATAAATAACAAGTTTGATAATTAAATAATATCACTGATGCAATATTATTGCCAAATTATGATATTTTAAGGCCTTACTCCGACAAGAAAGTTCCTCCATATCTCCATAATTCTTGTTACCTTTGCCATTTTGGATGTTTGAAGGAGACTCATCTCGTGCTGCATCATGGGAGATTATTTTTATTAGTACTTAGTCTTACGCGGTTTACTAGCTCAAGTGAAATGTGGAAAGATGGAAGGATTTCTTGTGTTCAATTTAACCATTATCTAGACGGTTTTCTAGAGCGATCCAGGTCTCTAGGAGATGAATGGGTAGGGAGATCAGCTCCTCAATGTCTTCAGGTATTATTATTTTTTGTATAGCCGAAGGGTGGACAGTTTGTAGCAACGTCAACCCTGAGCTGTCCTCAGGGACTAAGATTTATATGATGTATTTTGTCCTCGTCCAAGTACTTCAATGTAATTCAAAAAACATTTAGGTCAACATAAACAACGACATGATCTGTGTTCAATGCAAGGCGAACCGAAACACATGGCAAAAGCACTGGAAAATAAGCCTAATGACATCTCTCATGAAGTATAAAACCAAAAAAGAACTAGCCCTTTCATTTACACTCAGTGAAAATTCCTATTATTTTCTTTTTTCTTTGTCTAGCTGGATCCAACACAGCCAGTAAGGTACCTCATAAAACAGTGTTTCAGGGAAATTACAACTGCTGTCCAAACAAGGGAGGCAGAGTCTGAGAACATAGAATTTGCAGTTAATGAAAAAGATGTAAGTAAATGTAAACCCAACTGAAGCTTTAAATAGAAATGTAATAATACAAAAATGTTCACAGTAATAATTGAGAATTGGTAATGTAATGTTTTGATCAGGAGTGTGAATGCAGTTGTGATGTCCCATCCAAAAGTTATGCAAAATATGAGTACCATGTGATGTACAGCCCAAGTTATGGGGTACCTGTGTTATACTTCACTGCTAGCACACAAGGTACATTAAGCTAAATTGAAGCTAAATTGAACTCAAATTACCTAACTGTCATCTTACAGTTATCTAACCATTATCTTACCGTTATCTTACCATTACCTCACAGACTGTATTTCAACCGTTACCTTACGGTACCCAGGGTTCATGCTACTCCTCAAAATTCTTGAAAAGCCCTTGGATATAGCAAAGGTGCTGTATACTCCTGTAATTCTCCTTAAAATTGTAACATTTTTTGATTGTAACACTCTTATAGCTCCAATAACAGCAAGTGGCAACTGTTAAGAAACAAATTCACAAACAAAATGTTCATTGAAAATCGTAATTTTGAGCCTTGAAAAGTCCTTGAAAAGTCCTTAAATTTTTTTGTTTGAGATGTAGCATGAACCCTGCTTACCGACCACTTATCATTACTTTGCTGACCACTTATCGACCACTAACCAACCACTTACTAACCACTTACCAACCACTTACCAACCACTTACTGACCACTTACCAACCACTTACCAACCACTTACCAACCACTTACTGACCACTTACCAACCACTTACCAACCACTTACCAACCACTTACCAACCACTTACCAACCACTTACCAACCACTTACCCACCACCTACCAAACAACCTACCAACCACTTACCGACCATTTACCACCCATTTACCAGCCGCTTA